TTGGATCAAATGTATTTGAAAGAAAATAAAATCAGATGTCAAACGCATTTAGAAAAAATTACTACGTAGAATGCCCGGTTAGCAACTCCGACGAACCAGGACGCACTACGTGACAACGGGCGCTGACGCGATGCCATGTAAAGAGCCACGCAGGTGATCCGCGTGCCCGCGATCGAACGGTCCAGATCCATTCCTACGCTCACAACGGCCTGGAGACGCTCCCTCCCATACGCGATCGAACGACCAGATTCAAACGTGATGGGAACAGTCCAAATTAGATCACGATGAACGGTTTAGATTCACTCCCTATTTAATCGCGATCGAACAGTTCAGATCAAATGCGATGGACGACCCAGATCAAAAGCGGACGGATATAAATAACTCATATTCGCACCAAACCCTAACCCTAGCCGCCAGAACCCCTTGCCGGAGAAGAAGACCTGACCGCCCGGAATGAGACTGCCGCCACCCACTGCTGCACCGGAATCCTTTTCGACTGCCAAAAAATGTAAAAAAAATTTCTTTCACTCAAAATTTAATTTTAAGCATACTCATGACCAAATTAGAGCAAAAAGACCGACCAATTGGCCGAAAAACACCGATGAAGCCCAGCGGCGGCGTTGCGAAGAATTTCACAAAATGCATTCGATGAGACCCTTCCCGATTCTTGTTCTGTGTAATTTTTCTACCATTATGATCACCGTGTCTTTCTTTACAGTCGGAACAAAACACCCAACCGCAACGTGAGTCGAAGAAGCCACTGCACCGGAAAGACCCGCCACTGGTAAGTTACAGTTTTTTGTATTTTTTCGGTCAACTGAGACCCTTTAACGTATTTTTTCGCAAGGATCGATGCAAAATTGGTCGAAAACAGCAAACCTAAGGTGGACCGCCGCCACGTGCGACGGCACCGTCGTCGGAGTACGGTGGAGTCGCTGTGCCAGAATTTCGAAATTGGCCAAGTGGACCCTAGGACTGATTTTGAGTTTGTTTGGGATATTTGTAAATATCATTAACGTATTTTAATTCCAAAAAAAAAAAATCAGAGAACCTGAAAATCACCCGTAGGTGTAGTCGAATAACTTAGCTTTTCGAATATCAAATCGAGTAAGGATCCCTCATCCCATTCCCTATCATAGAATTGAAGTTTAAATAAATAATAATATAGTATTTTATGCGAATTTAATAAATATGCATAATTAATTACGGATTGCTAATGGAGGTAGAACTGAAAATTGTTCTCTGTTGATTTCTGTTGATTTATTTTACAATTTAAAAGCATGATAATATCTAATTTATCAATTTTATAGTTTGAATGCATGTATTGCTGTCTTACATGACCACTGTTTAGTTGAAAAATTGAGATATGATTGTATTCCCTGATGCATATTTGTTTGCTTATGTAATTATGATTGATTTGAAAAATGGAGAATAACAGAAAACGAAAAAGGTGTGTAAAAAAATAAATAGATGAAGACGGCAGCCTCACTAGATATTCTGAGAGATAGTGGACGGATCAGGTACATAGGGAACCCTACCGTGAACATTGTCTCATACCAGACGGGGTGACGCTCATACTAGACGGGGTATGAGGGTGGCCCGCTTTACCCTCATACCGGATGGAGTATTGAAGTTTAATAATTTGACACTCATACTGAACGGGGTATGAAGACGACCCGAAATTAAGATTGTTAAAGGACAGGGTTTGCGAGTGGCAGGAACATCTCTATGCATCCCTATGAATACTAGTAGACTGGTGAAAAAAGTGACAGTTATGGTTTGGTTTATTGACGATGTATATAGACTTGTGATATGTGTTATGTTATTGATTTTACATGAAACTATTATATGTATGATATTAATTGTCTGCATAGGTTTTTTCTATGAATCCCATAGCGGTAAGTGAACGGTAAATATTTTATTTTTAATAATAAATGTATTAGTTTAAATTAAGTGCTCCATTAGTATTTTGATTTTATACCAACATTTATTTATGTGTCGGTGTTATAGTGTAATATACTTACTGTCTTAGTGTAACTCATCCCTTATTTAACAATTTCATATCAATAAGACCAAGTTCCAGAACCCGATTCGCAGGAAAATAGCGAGTAGATACTAAATTTTTTTATTTTTCGTTTATTTACTTTGGATATTTCTATAATCGTTACAATCTATCTTATTAATTTAATAATTTGCATTAGATTTTTAGCTTATGAAATTGACTACAAGCAAAGCAAACCTTTTTCTATTTTTAACCCTAATTCAATTAAACAACAATTGACTCTCATCTTCATTCATTATATATATATATATATATCTATATGTGCAAAATACAGCCATTATTTATTTATTTACTTTTTTATTTTAGAAAAATAAAATAAAATGGGTTATTGTGCTAGTAAATTACTATCTTTGAGTATATGTGATCCCGTCTGTTAGAAATATCTTGTTGAACTATAATTATTTAGATATAATATAAATAATAAGTAAATAAATAAATTTTTTATTTTTTTATATATTTTTTTATCAAACATTCAAATTTTTATCTATTATATTCTTTAGAGTTACAAATGGAATCCGTTATATAATTTATGGGTCACTTGCTTTTAATCTATTTCAATTCAATTTTTTTTTTAAAAAAATTATATTAAGTAAAATATATGAAGTAATTTTTTTTTTAACTGTAGATAATAAACGACTTCAACTTTTAAACAAATATTACGATAACAATCCTAACTCGAATATGCCAAATTTGCTCATTTGAACTGAACTTACACTGATTTTCTTAAACTAAATAACGGATTCAAGGTGGATTAAGTTCACATACGCTGGAATATAATTGCAAGATGAGATGATTTCATATTTGGTCTATCAAAACTAAGTTTAAACTCAATTCAATATATGTTTTAAAAATATATTTATATTAATTATATATTATATATATAGGAAGCTAAAAAGCTCTATTGATTTTTTTTTTTTTTTTTTTTTTTTTTTTTTTTGGGGACCTATCATAATTATAACTACTACGAGAACTTAATTGTTTGAATTCGAGGGATTCAAATTTATATTTTATGAAAATATGACTGACGATATTCAAATATTAAATTAGGGGATGACATGAGGTAGGTAAGAGATAGGTTTTATTAAATCTAAAGTCAGGACGCGTTTATGTAAAGAGTAAAACTAAATCTGGATTTTTTAATCTTTTTGGTTTGCATAGAGTTTGCGGTTTATTCATTCGCACTAAATCAATTGAATTAATTTTAAATTTTCAAGAATATTAAGTGTATACAAAATGGCAAGTGAAGAACATTAATTTCAATTTTGATTTGAATTATACTTTTAATATAAACCAATTAAAATTTAGAGATGGATTCTGATTTTTGGGACATTTTGAGGTGTTTGAGAGAATCATTAACAGAGGAAAAAGAACAGAAAAAAAGGGAGCAGTGGGGGAAAATCGGGGAAATTCTTTTGGGTTTTGGAGAGAGCAAAGCCAAGAAAGGAGATTTCTGGGGCAAAATCGAGAAAACCAGCGAGAAGCCTGAGAGGAGAGACCATGGGAGAGGAATAGGGATTCTAGGGTTTTCGAGACCAAATGGGGAATCGATTTAACGCTGAGAGAGATCGGACCGACGGAGAGGGAGAAATTAAAGGAGAGTCCAGACGGACAGAGTACACGGCTAAGAGTTTGTCCCTGAAGGATGGTATGGTATACTCTAATTAGCTCCTCTTCTGTACCAGTCTCTGGTGCGAAGAGGCCGTAAAGAACTTGAGCATTGAATGAGGAATGAAGAGAGTTTTTAAGCTTATATTAATTCTTAGTTTGTTCTTTCCTTTGTCCGTTTCTTCACTACACCTATGGTTTAGGTTAAATATTTTTTACAACTGATGATCCTACCACATGGATGCATATTTAGCTTTAATAACAATGGCTTAAATACTGTTCATACTGTTATCGGACGTTGTTGATGAGCCAGTGACTGCTTTCTTCTCTTGTTATCTTATATATATCTTCTTTGTTTACTTGCATTTATGAGATTTCAAAGATCCCCTGAAATGCCCTGTAAATACCCTGCTTTTCATACACTCTTGTTATTATTATTTTTTCAGTTTTAATATCAGGAGATCCCATCGTAACTCCCATGACGTATTCAGCCAGTTAACTCTATATAGTTTGCATTTGCTGAAACAGGTTTTTGCCTTCATGGTCAACTGTGGAAGGTTGTTGTTTTGTTCACTTCGCAGTTTTAATTGGCTGGCAGTGAATGCCTACGTCATAACTTTTGAAAACCCTTTCATTAAATAGATCATTTGGTCTGATTTTTGAAACACTGGTTCTGCTCATGAAGTATAGCTGACTGGGATTGTCTATGAACTTGATAGATTAGAAGACCTACCCGGAAATGGTGTCTTTTGAGTTTATTGATCTGTACCTGGGGTTGTGGGGACACAAATATGCATTGTCTTTTTTCTCTTCATGCTTTAGTTATGTGTTATTGGCATTGAGGGCACTTAGTAGCTTAAAATATAATCTCAGTTTAACCATAGAGGCAGATGAGGTGTATCAAAACTGGCTTTAGATAATTGCTTTGAGAAGATGCCGCTGCAATATTTTCTTGCCTTGTGAGTGACTTGTAGGCCGTAAAGAGAGATTTAGAGAAGTCATTCTTTACCCTTAAGGTATCTGCAATTTTACTATGTTCTGAATTGTTTAGGTTTATGATTGAATGATGGTGCATGGAAGAGGATTTGTTAGATGAAGAAGATTTCTTGTTTTTATGTATTCAACTGGATTAGTTCATTTTTGGTCAGACACGCACCATCCATCATAAAGAGGGCTTGCAGCATACTTAAGGTGGAATCATATGGGGACGTGGTTAACATGTGTGCCTTAACGGGGTATGGATTGAGGAGATATTTAGTTGCTTTTTTTAATGGGTATATTTGTGGATATGTTGGTTGGCACTAGTGTGCTATGTAAGTGGGAATAAATGGACAACATAATGGATAAGTCTTTCTTGGTTGGAAGCATATACTCTGAGTCTGATATGAATTCTTTCATGTTTAATCCTCTTGATGAGTGGCACCAAGGGAGGTTTTGAAGACATCCCTCATTTTTTTTCTTTTATTTTATTAATGCGATCTTCTTTCTCCAGTATATTTTTAAATATTTTAATTTAGCATTTCAGTAGAATTTATTCAAGCATGAGTATTAATGTAAAACACACTTGCACCATAGTTAAGAACACAAATAATACATGCAATTTGAGTATTACCTTAGTTAATTATTGTTACATATTACATTTCTAACGTCTTCCTATCTTGTACTGTTTTAGTTTTAAGTTCCTGTGTTCATGACTGGTGCAATTTTGATACTTGATCTCATCCTTATAGATCAGTTGGCAACTTTTTTTTGCTTGAAAATTTATTTTTTGAGAGCTCTGCCATTACTGTTTTGGCAAAGCTGATTTAGATCTTCTGAATTGCCACCAGCAAGACTCCAACCCTTTGGGTCGTGCAGGTGCTGATTGAGGCATATCCATCAAGAGTCGATTCTACAAATTGGCAAACAAGACCGAGTAAGCGTCAAATGGTAATGACTAGGCTTTGAGAATTATGATATCAGGATTAGCATAGAGCAGTCTCAGATGAAGTTTTATGTGACATAGAACATCGATGGCACACACTCTGTAGAACAATATATTTAGAGCCCTACTAGAGAGAGAACAGCTAGCTTAGTCTTCCTTTTCTTTAATTTCCTTCCTCTTTTTCATAATTATATATAGTCTGACTTTCCTTTTTCTTTCGTATATTTTCTTGTCCTTGGATTCCTATAACTGCTTTATGGTTACGCACAGCATCTATGTGTATATATGTGTCTATATATATATATATATATATATATATTACATAAATCCAATAATGAAATAGTTCACTAACTTTTTTGAGAGTACATTGTTTTTCTCTTTCTTCTTTATCTACTCTTTACTTCACGATCAGAGTTATCAAGAAAAAGAAAAGAGCCTCTCATGGAAAAGGCAATCATATTGATCAAGAGTGGAGAGTTGTGATTTGCAAAGAAATTCCTTCTTTTTCCTATCCTTTTCATTTTCATTTAAGTGGGTTCTTGATTCTAATATTAAATAAATAACAAGACTACGATTCTAGCTGAGACTACTATCAATTCCAACCAAGCCATATCCACTGAACAAAAGATTGAATGGGATGGTATATTGATTGATAAACATCTTTACCCCAATATCCCAAAGCTTGAGCCATACAACAGAAGCTGCCTTTTTCTCCCTCTCTTTCTCCTTTTCTTTCTTTCCTGAGTTTTGTTTACTTTGTTGAAAAAGGCTCCAAGCTAGTTTCATTATGGATGGTTCAAAACCCTTTGTTAATGAAACTCTTTATTAACCCTTTAGTTTTTAAATATGTTTAAATCATTATCTACTCATAATAAAAATTAACATTGTTAAGTGTTATCATTTATTTTAATTTACGTTGATGCCATGTAGATGACACATGGTGTGCATCCGGATTCACTCAAACGACATATGATACATACATACATGCATGCATGCATGTGCGAGGGGATCATGATATAACACATGTATGAATATACATCTGTATTTGTGAGTACGTAGATACCCGCTTTCAGCCAAAAGCAGGAAATAAGTTGAAGAGCTAAAAGCTCAGATTTTTTCGGTAGGATGTGAAGCAGATCATCATCCGCTTTTGTTCTCTATCAAATATGCACAGTCAGATGCATTTTACTGTGAAAAAACACGGCATTATATATATATATATATATATATATATATATATGCCCAACAGTTGCGAGGAAAAAAATTCTAAAATAGATAGAGAGGCCCTATATATTAGTATTATAACATTGCATCTAGGTAGAGAGGTGGTCAAGACGAGTGCTAGAGAGAGAGCAAGATTGGAGAACACACATGCTGTAAACCCTGCGACAATCAGCAAAGCAGGAGAAATAGATCGCGATGCCAATTGTCTTGAATCAGATGGGCCAAGATGGGTCGCCGGCAGTGACGCTTTCCAGCGAGAAAGCCAATGGTGGAGGATTGGGACGATCGTGTTGGCTCGGGGTACTTGATGGCGAGCTTCAAGTTGAAAATTTTGGTCTCTGGGACACAGATTAGGAAGCTAGGTGTTGTCGTTATCTTAAGTGGCTCCAAGTAAATACCGCATGTAATTTATATGGAGTCTATGTAAATTAATGAATGACATTTATGTAAATTAAAATAAATGATATTATTATCATGCCTGTTGATATTTAACTAAGTTAATTTTCGGTAATATAGAGGGAGTTATTTAAATTTTTTTAAAAGATTGAAGATTGACTTAAATTTAAAATAAATTTGTGTTAAGGGATTATTTTGATAATTTAATTTTATTACAAGTTTATTAAAGTATTTCCTTGGGTTCTGAAAGGATCCATGCGAAGGTTCTAAACCGTATACAGAAACAACTTATATTATATATATATATATGCAAGCATATATAACGTGTATATTTATGTGTGTATATACATAGATATCTTTTTGCACCACCATTCTTTAAATGCAACTTGCTAGCTAGTAGCATATTGAGAGACAAGATGTGCACGGGTTTGCAGAAAACTTGTAGCTAGACTTGCTCTTGTTCATTTCTATTCTCCAACTTTGTGAATACTTTGCTGTGGGTCCTCTCATAAGAATCAGATCCATGAAGATTATAAATGTTTGTGCATATATGTCTATATATTTATATATATATATATATCTTATTGGAGCTATAGAAGGTTCTTTTAACAAGACAATTACATGTTAATTCACAAGTGGTTGTTGCACTGATATTATATATATTCTGTATGTAAGTTAGTGGGGGTATATATGTAAAGCTTCTTTATACAAAGATATATGCATGTCTTCTTTTCTCTCTTTCTCTGAGTGCTACTTCAAGAACCTCTTACTTTTCCATCATCATCATCATCATGATCATCTCGAGGTTTCGGATATTAATGGTGTCGATCATACCATTTATATATTTCTCTACTCTTTTTCCTCACGAACCTCTCTAGAAACCCACCTTCTTTAAACCACTTCTCTGGGTTTTTTTTTTTAAAAAAATTCATCCTCCAATGGCTTCCAAATCCACTTTCGTCATCCTCTTTGTGCTGATTATGTTTCTCTCATGTCCTTCAGAAGTCACCAGTACTAACCAGTCTCAGTTTTTCACATTGATGAAGGCTTCTCTATCAGGAAACGCCTTGTCTGATTGGGATGTCAGTGGGGGAAAACCTTTCTGTAATTTCACAGGAGTTGGCTGCAATGATCGAGGGTATGTCGAAGAGATTGACATCTCCGGCTGGATGCTTTCTGGGTATTTCCCAAGTGATATATGTTCTTATCTGCCAGAATTACGCGTTCTTCGCCTCAGTCAAAACAACCTCCATGGAAATTTCCTCAACAGCATAGTCAATTGCTCCCTCTTGGAAGAATTCAACATGAGCTTTGTTTATCTGAGAGCAAATCTTCCAGATTTGTCCCGGATGAAGTCAATTTGGATACTTGACATGTCCTACAACCTCTTTACCGGCGATTTCCCGATGTCCATAACTAATCTGACAAGTCTTGAGTTGCTCACTTTCAATGAAAATGGAGAATTCAACTTATGGGAACTTCCTGACAACATTTCCAGGCTAGTGAATCTCAAGGTTATGGTGCTGTCAACATGTATGCTGCAGGGTCCAATTCCAGCATCAATCGGAAACATGACATCACTTGTTGATCTCGAACTGAGTGGGAATTTTCTATCTGGTCCAATTCCTGCAGAGCTTGGTTTGCTCAGGAACTTGAAGCAACTTGAGCTGTACTACAATTACCACTTAGCTGGACAGATACCTGAGGAGCTTGGAAATTTGAAAGAGCTAAGAGATTTAGATATCTCAGTCAATAAGCTGACAGGAGTAATTCCGGAGTCTATTTGTAGACTTCCTTATCTCCGAGCCTTGCAGCTTTACAACAACAGCCTCACTGGAGAAATCCCAACTGTCATTGAAAAGTCGACAACCTTGACAATCCTGTCACTTTATGACAACTTCCTGACAGGAAAACTTCCTCAGAATTTGGGAAAGTCCTCACCTTTAGTCGTTCTGGACGTGTCTGAGAACAATCTATCAGGTCCACTTCCGCAGGGGGTCTGCCAGAGTGGTAACTTGCTATACTTTCTTGTCTTGGAAAACATGTTTTCTGGAAAGATACCTGATACTTATGCAGATTGCAAGAGTGTTATCCGGTTTAGGGTTAGTAGAAATCAACTAGAGGGGAAAATTCCTCAACGGATTCTTGCCCTCCCTCATGCTTCAATCATTGATTTGGCTTACAATAAATTGACTGGTCCAGTACCAGATACCATTGGAAATGCTAGGAATTTATCAGAACTGTTCCTGCAGGGGAATCGAATTTCAGGGATTGTACCTTCCCAAATCTCTAGAGCTATCAATTTGGTTAAGATTGATCTTGGTAATAATCTTCTGTCTGGTCCAATACCTTCAGAAATTGGAAAACTAAAGAAGTTGAATTTACTTCTGCTGCAAGGAAATCGGTTAAATTCTTCCATCCCTGAAACATTATCTTCACTCAAATCTTTGAACGTCCTCGATCTATCTAACAATCTCTTGACTGGAAATATACCAGATTCTCTAGCTGATTTGTTATCTACTTCTATAAACTTTTCAAACAATATGCTTTCTGGTCCAATCCCTGTTTCACTCATCAAAGGAGGGTTGATAGAAAGCTTTTCAGGTAACCCAGGTCTGTGTGTTTCAGTCAGCGTCAATACTTCAGATCAAAATTTTCCCATATGTCCAAAAGGGTACAGCAGAAAACCTCTAAATTCCATCTGGGTAGTAGGAGTTTCAGCCATTCTGATCACTATTGGCATTGTACTGTTTTTAAAACGAAGATGGAGTAAAGATAGATCTGCAATGGAACATCAAGATGCCAGCTCGGCTTCTTCATCATTCTTTTCATACGACGTGAAGAGCTTCCATCGAATAAGCTTCGATCAACGGGAAATCCTCAAGTCACTGGTTGATAAGAACATTGTGGGGCATGGTGGGTCTGGTACAGTGTATAAAATTGCATTGAGCAGTGGAGAGGTTGTTGCAGTGAAGAAACTATGGAGTCACAAAACAAAAGGTTTTGCTTCAGATGATCAGTTGGTTTTGGACAAGGAACTGAAAACCGAGGTTGAGACTCTGGGAAGTATAAGGCATAAAAACATTGTCAAATTGTTTAGTTACTTGTCAAGTTTTGATTGTAACCTCCTTGTTTATGAGCATATGCCCAATGGGAATTTATGGGATGCCCTTCACAATGGATGGATCCATCTTGATTGGCCTACTCGTCATCAGATTGCGCTCGGGGTTGCACAAGGTTTGGCATATCTTCACCATGACCTGTTGCCACCAATCATTCATAGAGACATCAAAACAACCAACATTTTACTTGATATCAATTACCAACCTAAGGTAGCTGATTTTGGCATAGCTAAAGTTTTGCAAGCTAGAGGAAAAGACTCTACCACAACTGTTATTGCAGGAACTTATGGCTATTTGGCTCCTGGTACTTTTCATTTTTCTCATCTAACTAATAAATTATTTATAGATCTATACATTTCTATACAGATTCATGATTATAATTCATTTTTCTTCATCTGGGTATAATGAAAGTTCTCTTTTTTAGATTAATTTCTTATTCAATTCATTCATGCTTGTAACAGAATATGCATATTCCTCCAAGGCAACAACCAAGTGTGATGTCTACAGTTTTGGTGTAGTGTTAATGGAACTGATTACAGGAAAGAAACCAGTAGAAGCAGATTTTGGAGAGAACAAGAACATCATCTATTGGGTTGCAACAAAGGTGGAAACCAAGGAAGGAGTTATGCAGGTGTTGGACAAGTGTTTATCAGGTTCGTTTAGAGACGAGATGATTCAGGTCCTACGAATTGCCATCCGTTGCACCTGCAAGACTCCAAGCCTTCGTCCATCGATGAACGAAGTTGTACAGATGCTGATTGAAGCTGATCCGTGCAGATTTGATTCTTGCAAATTTTCAAACAAGACCAAGGACGAATCAAATGTCATGAATAAGCCAAAGAACACTTCAGAATTATGATATCACCAAGAGGAGTTGTAAAGCAGTTTCAGATCAAATTTTTAGTATGTGACATAGCATATCTATAGGACATTATTATCTGTAAAACTCTATATTTAGAGGCTACTTAGCGGCAAAATAACTAGCTTAGCATTTTCTTTCTCCTTTTTCTTTTTCCCCATTGCATATATATATAAATATAATGTTCAAGAAAAGCAGCAAGTTTGCAGATTCTGAGTCTCTCCTTCCTTTCACTCTCTTTCTTCTTTTTTCTTTTGCTTTTTCTCGCCCTTTGATCACCATACTGCTTTATGATAACGCACAGTATCTGTGTGTCTATATATATATATATACATTTCATGGACCCACAAAGGAAATAATTCACTAGCTTTTTGAGAACCCTTTGTTCTTTCTTCTTTATCTATTCTCTTTACTTCACGATCATCATGAGTGATCAAATAAACAAAAAGCTTCTCCATAGAAAAGGCACTCATATTGATATAAGAATTAAATAAAAAATGTGATTTGTAGAGAAATTCCTTCTAATTTTTTCTTCTTTCTAAATTTCATTCAGGTGTGTTCTTGATTCTGATTCAACCATTAAGCCATCTCCACTGAACAAAAGATGAATGAGATGTTAACTGGTTGATTGATAAGCATATTTGTCTCAATAAGCTAAAGCTTGTGATCATAGAACCAAAAAAGCAGAAGCTGTTTTTTAATTTTTTTTTTTTTTTTTCCTTTCTCATTTTCTTTCTCTCTGGTTCTTCTGAATTTTGATTACTTGGTGGGAAAATGGAAAGAGCACCAAGCTATATAGTGAGCCATTAACCTCCACTCGTGAAAATTCTCTATTCTGAGTGAAAAATGAGATTTTCCATTTATATATCCTAAACGCACTGCCTTTATCAACATATAGTATTATATATATATATATATATGTATGTATGTACATGAGTAATACCCCATGAAAATTGAACCGGTAATCTATGCGTACTCTCTAGGATTTTTTCAGTCCATTTGCAAAATATAAAACATTTCATGGTTTGTTTTTTCCAAGCTGTGATTTTTCAAGATAATTTTAAAATTATTTTGATAGAAAATCTTTAATTATAAAATCTGTAGGTTTAACAAATTAATTGTATAATGTTTTTTTTTTTTACATTTGTATATTCCACCTAATTTACATTTATGTTGTTAATTAATTAACACAATTTGATTGGTTGAGCAAAGCAGAACGTATCATCAAAATCTGTGATTGTATTTTGGTTAGCTGTCTTCATAAAACCAAAACCAAAACCAATGCCAAAGAGTATAAACTATATATATATATATATATATATATATAAAGCTGCCTTCTGCTTTAATTAGAAATAACTATAAAAATGCAATTGAAAATTAAATCAAAAAGTTAAATTTGTCTTTTACATCTTTACTCGTAATATTTTTATCGAAATCAAAAATTATTCAGTAATTTGCACCTACCTACTGGCTAGCCGATACGGAATGGACCCAATTGAGGGCCAAGGAGGACAATTGCAAACCCCCCCCTCCCCCCATAAAAAAAAATTTGCATAAATTTAAACAATTTTTTAAAATTAAACTAACTATTAATCTGAAATAAATTACAAAAAAATTAAAAACTAAAATAAAACAAATATAATACCCTAATTTAATATTTTCACAATTAAAAAAAAAAAATAGTTGAAATCTATTTACAGGCATCATTATTTCATCCCAGCGCAAAGTATACATAGTAAACTGCAAAAATGGCAAGTGACACGTTTTTTTTTTTTTTTTGAAACTACTGCAGATGCAGTGTCCCTGCGATCTGACATTTGCAAAATAGAACGTAAGTGTGAGTTAATTTAGTTTCTTTATGAAGTTGACTAAAATCTCTTTAATCATTTACACCATGTTTATTTTTTAAGTTAACAGCGGGAGAAATTACAATAACTCTACTTTAAGTATCATATTCTGACTAAACAAATTAACCATCATCAAAATAATTAAATTAAATTTAACATAAAACATTAAATAAATAAAAATTTAAAAGCCAGCTAATAATACTTTTCCATCTTAAAAAAAAAAAACAAAAAAAAACAAAACGTATGTTTTCAATTTTTTACCTAAAAAAAAACACAGGTGACACAGATCATACGTCATTCTGAAATGAAAATACACAGCTGTGAGCCTATGACCTGTGATTGTGTGTGTGTATTTATCAGAGAGCTGCACCCAATGGCTACCACTAGCTGTAGCACTAGCATTTCTCGCAGATTTAAATAAAATAATAATAATAATTTCTGTAAATCTAGAAATTTTTTATTGGTTTAAAAATATTCGTGGTTTTTTAATATTATAGAAAAAGGTTTGGAAAAGTGGTTGTTGAGAGGAAGAGAGACGAAACGGTGAGTATTCTTAACAGAAGGAAGAGTGGAGTTGAAAACGGCTTTTCACCGGCCATCTTCACCACTCAAATCCACAAAACCAAAATGCTTCACCTTCTTCCTCCTCCTCCTCCTTCCCTGCTCTTTTTCTCTTTATTATCTTTCTTTCTCCTCTAAAACCCATTCAGAAAAACCAGACTGTGAAGCTATTTGTTTTGTCATTTGGGAGGGATCTTGCCTTGGGTGACTGACTGTTCTTCTGCAATGGCTGCTGCTGTTGCTTTTCTGGGTGACGGCTTTATTGACCAAGCTACTCCTGGTCCCGAGGAGATACACTCTCCTCGTGCCTCTGTAAATCGAAGGTCATTTTCATGCCTTCACAGATGAGAGATGGAGAAGCAGTGGAGAGCACAATGTAGATTGTAGCTCCTTCTTTCCTTCTTTTCTCTCTCTGTCACTTTCTCTTTCTTTCTCCTCTCTGTGTAGAATCCCCTTGTTGCGTAGAAAAAGGCAGACAGGATGGAGCCAGGCAGATATTTACATAATATAAAAGTTTCTTTTAGCTCAAAAAACAGCACTAATCTCACACTTCTCTTTTTATTTTTTTAAAAGAAGAAAATTTTATCTCTGGGCTTTTTTGGTCGTATTTCTTCCTTTTTTTTTTTTTTTTTCTTTTCTTTTTTTTTTCTTTGGTGATATTTTAATGGCGGAAGAGGAGGGGGCATACACTTCTTCATCAATCATGGGTATGAGTTACCGTGCGCCGAAATGCAGTGAAGAAGACGGTGTTTGAAGCATTTTGGTGAATGTTTGTTGTTCGCATTTATGTACAAGCAAGATGTTGTAAGCCATGATGCTGATGATGATGTATGTTATTTTCCCAATTTTCACATTGACTGACTTGGGGTTTTATTAATATAGAAATATAGTTTTTCCATTTCTGATTCTATTTCTTTTACTCTAATTTTTACTCTGAAGCACTTTATTTTTCCGGGTTTGATTACACTTTATTTTACATTTTGTTCTTGCATCATTTTTCTTGATTCACTTAGGTTTGTTTGTCTGTGCATGTCTCCAAGCAACTGGGTATGGAACTTTGTCCATTGATTAATCCTGATATATCATAAACATGAACTGATTTTTGCTTAATAGGTTCGTAGTCATATGGCTCTTATTAGTTACAAGAAGTAAGAAATTCTAGATCAGAGAATTTGAGGTGTTCCTTTTCTCGGTTTTGGTAGTTTGATCTTGAAGGTCAATCTTGGAAGTTTTGCATAAGCAAAACAATGTCGATCACTGGTAATCTCGTCCTGTCAAACCCTATGGGCGTTCTGTTCGTAATAACTATTGTTATTGATTAATTTTTTGAGCTTTCCTTGCTGGAACTGGTTCTACTTAAACTACTAACCTCGTGTATTCACATGTACGTGAGCTTTTGAAAGGCTGAATGTTCTGGTATCAGTTATTTAAAAACCATTGGTATAAAAATTTTTGGTCCTTGTTATGATTTTGGAACTATATCTTCAACTCATGCTCTACTCATCTTTGCTAGATGAAGTATTTTTGTTCATTTTTAGTTTGTAGAAACTCTTGATTTATGTCGTGCTGTCTGATAGATTGATGACAAAGCAAATTTTCTGTTCATGTTCTGAAGGCCCCATGAGTAAATGAAGTTTTTTCTGCTTGAGTTGAGTTTTTGTTTGAAATAAATTAATGATCAGGTCAACAAATTTAGAGTCTTGAGTTTATGAAATTATCTATTTGCAAAGGATACAGGAAATTAGAGTTATATATTAGCCAAGCTTACAGTTTTATTTCATATCTTTGATTAGATTGATAGAGTATGATAACAGATATTCTATCAGCAAGTTTTTTAGGTCTATAGAACTCTCAGTTCTTAGAGTCGTATAAATCTCAAGAGGTTAATATAATTATTAGTCATTTCATATGACATTAAAGCACGAGGTATGTATGACTCTCAATCTAGTAAAGCTTGTACTTGAGGTAACAAATAAAAGTATTAGTAACAGACTACAACTTACCTTAGCGCCAAACTTTTGGGATAATTAATTAAAATCAATCATTTCACATCTGTGCGATTTTCTTTTTCTTCATTTTCATATACTGCATCCTATTTTCTTACGTGTTTAGCAGAAAAAATTTGCAGCACTTCAACAAGCTTATTTATGCTGGCCTTGGCTTTTGGCTCTTATTTCGGGGGATGTCTCCTATGTGCTGAACATATGGATGTAATTTTTCATAGTATCTTTATGTCGTGTTGATTTCATTTAGACAAGACGAGCTGATTGTTGTATCTATTCTCTTTTGAATGAAGATTTTTCATTAATGAAGATTGAGTCTGTTTGCCAAGCAAAATGCAAAAGCCATGTAGCATCCAATTCTTCTGCTATGCATCCAATAATAGAGATTTACATTTGAGCATGCTGGAAATTGCTGGAGAAATTCTCCTCTTGAACAAGTACTTGTTCGATGGTTGTAGACTTCATTATATATCTCAAATTAGTTGATATTGCTCCTTTGCTATCCCTCTGCCACTTGGGTGTAGTTTTAGTAAAGGTTTTGTCATACTAACCCATTACAAAAGTTTTATTGTAGGTCATTTATTTGAAAATTTCTATTTTAGCTTGAGATAATTTTTATACAAACATCAGAACTTTAGTCAATCTTTCTGGAGTCCCTCAGTTTCAGCAGTCAGTTCATCCAACATTTTGACTAAGTTCATATTTTGTTTTCACTACACTGGTTTTATCTTTAGCTGTGATCCAGACTCCATGCCCATAATTTCTAGGTTACTTTCTGCTAACGCATCTAACAATTAGCAGGCTCCGATTTATATTTATTTTCCAACTTTCCAATTCATGACACGCCCTTCAACAGATTGAATATATTTGTTTTTAACTCTTTCGAAAACTTGATGTGTGAATCACTCATATGATCTCTAAGGTTTTTCGGATTCTTTTACTAAAGTAGCTGGTATTTTGGTAGTTCCCTTGTTGTTTCTTCATTAATTTACATGGTTGTTTTTTCTTTTCCTTTGAAAAGATTCGTATTAATTGCTGGGTCTTACTGTTCAGAAAGCATCTCCCTAAAAGTAGACTGAGTTTCTCTCTGTGGTCACCATGATTGTTGGATGTTTTAACTTTCTCCGTGGCCTGTAGGATACGATGTTCATTGTAAGACAGGAATGTCTTCCAGAGAAGACGGCAAAAACATGAAGAGAAGATGTGGACTGCTTCTGTATTATTCTTTATTTTCCAAGGTACTTTTTGTCTATCATTGTGGATAGTGACATTGGCCTGCTTAGTATCTTCTCTTCTGTTCATATTAAGATTTATTTCCCAATCTGCCTGCTACATTTACTAGCCAAGGATGTTTGGCCAAAACATTTAATGCAGGTTTTCCTTTCATTTTACTCTCTATTAGAGATCTTAATCCACATAAACTAACTACAAATATATATAATCCGATTTGTATAGTGAGTTTAACTCTAGCTAAAAGTGCATACTTTTGAGTCGGAATAACGAAAACATGAAAATAAAATTGCGGGTTTCAAGCTCGTTGTTTGGTTTTGTCTATGCTTATTTGGTAAGATGATAGACACGAATTTCTTCTCTTTATGGGTTTGAGTTAACTATGAATTCTTGCGTGTATTTATTATTTTATTAATAGAATGAATGTAAAAAATATTAATTTTTTTAAAGAACTAGGTACTTAATTTTATTTTTTTTTATATTATTAAACTGTAATGTTGTTATCTCAGCTTCTCCAACTAAGCCTTTTTCTGTGGAGAAAGCTAGTGATAGCTAATTGGCCGAATGGTCTTGGTTAGAAAACATGGCGTATGCTTTGGGCTTGTTTGAGCTCCCTAGCCATGTCTTGTTACCCAAATGGCATTGTTTTTGTGTTTGGATTAGAAGATAAAGTCATGGGTCAGAGTCAAACATTTTACTCAGGTTTGTCAATTGACTTTTTAGTTTTCGTCAATGAAATATTTATAAAATATAGATTTATTAAATACAGATTTTAGATTTTGAGTAGAATAAAAAAAACAACATATAATTTCTCTCATTGTTTTAGTTAAATTTGGTAACTGCATTTCTACTAATAAATTAACGAATTAAATTTTATTTTATTAAATTAAATATTATAAGCTGATTATTATCATTATAATATATCCATTAAATAATGAGTTTTGTGTTGTCCATCAGATCTGAACTTATAATTTTCAAATATGATAAAAACTATAACTACTAATTCGCGTAATAACGTGTCGACTCGAATCAAACATTTTGCAGCAAGTGAAATCATTCATGTATTGTCTCTTGATGATCTTTTCTTATTAATGGAATGAAATTAAAAAATAAAATAAATATTTGGTCCGGCCTGCCTGCGTTCTGATGCTTTGGACTTTTTAATTTCTATTTTCTTTAATGTGATTTTAAAAAGTTAATCCAAGATCCTTCATAGATGACGAAGGAACGTGACGCCGGGCCCAATGTATAATGTGTAATTTGTCCATTTTCCCGATTTTAAAAAATAAAAAATAAAAAATATATATCGCATTTTTTGAAAAATCTATAAAAATAATTACACATTAAGAAAGTAAAATAAATATGTAGGTATGTAGATTTAAAAAAAAAAAAAAAGAACATGTTGGACCTACATTACATCAACAAGCCATATAGGTAGAAGCATAAATTTTTAAATGGGCCCACCGAAAGAAACTTAAGAGCTACCCTCTGATAGCCCACCAACCTTCCCACGTTGGATGATGTGGTGAATCCATTCATTTCTTTTTCAAATTTCAAATTTCAAAATTATGCAAGAACTGAAAGGACAAATTTGCCCCCTGAATTTTTTTTTTTATTTTTTCAGGAATTCTTTTGAATGGCAATTAATACCTTCATGACATCTCTCTCTCTCTCTCTCTTTTAAATGCCAATTAATGGCATAAGCGTAATTAACTTAAATATGGTGCCTGTATTCTTGAGAATAAAAAGCCAAAATTTCAAAATAAAGCGGGCAGATAACCATGGTTAACGGTTAGGTTGTAACGGAACCAGGCTGGTTCTTGCTGGCAACCACTGGTTTATCAATTGCATCTCTTTTTTAATCCTTAACCAAACCCTCGCAATATAAATACCCAAAGTACCAGATCTGAAGCCTCACATTCAAAGGCGTCTTGATAAACGCCGCTCCAATATTCTTCTTCTTCTCCTAATCCTAGGGTTTTCCAATATTCTTCTCTCATTTGAAAGGTTCGAAGATGAGAGAGTGCATTTCGATTCACATTGGCCAGGCCGGTATCCAGGTCGGCAATGCATGCTGGGAACTCTACTGCCTCGAACATGGCATTCAGGTATCCCTCACTTTCCTTCGATCCCTCTTTCCTGTTTAAGTTGTTCTCGTGCTGTTCATGCCTTTTGGTTTGGACGTTGATTGTTTTATCTGCAATTCCTCTGTAATTTTTCTTCTTCGGTATTGGATTCTGGCGGTTTTGGTGTCATGTGGTTATTAGCTCTGCAATTTGATCAGACAATCAGATCCAGGTCCGGAACCTCTATGAGATGATAACATTCCTGATGTTATTATTCTCTCAAATCTTCAGTTAAATGTTCAGATCTGCATAAACTTTGGTTTGATATTCTTGTAAAACTGATGTTCTGATTTCTCTTGACTATAAATGTTAATTTATTTTTTATGATATGCAGTCGGGTTTTTTTTTTCCCCGATTTTTATGTTTCTTGTTTGAGTTTGACTCCATGTGGGGAAAATTGATATCATGTGCTGTCTCGACATTACGTTTTGTTCTTGTTCTGGTTGGTCTTTACTGATATGCTGCATTTGAATTATTAACAAATTATTACAGCTTTAATGTTAAATATATTCTAGATACTATATTTTTGTCTTAATCACTTCTAATCGTGTTCCTCTTCTCTGTTCAGCCTGATGGTCAGATGCCAAGTGATAAGACAATTGGCGGAGGAGACGATGCTTTTAACACCTTTTTCAGTGAAACTGGTGCCGGGAAGCACGTCCCTCGTGCTGTATTTGTGGATCTTGAGCCTACAGTTATTGATGAAGTAAGGACAGGAGCATATCGCCAGCTCTTCCACCCGGAACAACTCATCAGTGGCAAGGAAGATGCTGCCAATAATTTTGCTCGCGGCCATTATACAAGTAACGGGCAGCAGTCTTTGATTTCATTTATTTTTGCGAAATATTTCTGTTTTAGTTACATTGACTAATATGGATGTAATTGTCTTGTGGCATACCAGTTGGCAAAGAAATTGTTGATCTCTGCTTGGATCGTATTCGGAAGCTTGCCGACAACTGCACCGGCCTTCAAGGTTTCCTAGTTTTCAATGCTGTTGGAGGTGGTACTGGTTCTGGTCTTGGGTCGCTTCTCTTGGAGCGTCTCTCTGTCGACTATGGAAAGAAATCAAAGCTTGGATTCACTGTCTATCCGTCACCTCAGGTTTCCACTTCTGTTGTGGAGCCTTACAACAGTGTGCTGTCAACCCATTCTCTCCTTGAGCACACAGATGTTGCGGTGCTTCTTGACAATGAGGCCATTTATGATATTTGCAGGCGTTCTCTCGATATTGAGCGCCCTACTTACACCAATCTGAATCGACTTGTTTCTCAGGTGACAAATGGAACTCCTTACTTGGTGTGGTTCCTGTTTCTACTCAAATGTTGTTACTAACCAGGAATATTTGATATTTCAGGTGATCTCATCGCTCACTGCCTCTTTGAGGTTTGATGGAGCTTTGAATGTGGATGTGACGGAGTTCCAGACCAACTTGGTGCCATACCCCAGAATCCATTTCATGCTTTCCTCTTATGCCCCGGTAATTTCAGCCGAGAAGGCTTACCACGAGCAGCTTTCAGTGGCTGAGATCACAAACAGTGCTTTTGAGCCATCGTCCATGATGGCAAAATGTGATCCCCGCCATGGGAAGTACATGGCGTGCTGTCTGATGTACCGGGGCGATGTTGTCCCCAAGGATGTCAATGCAGCTGTTGCCACAATCAAGACCAAGCGCACAATCCAGTTCGTTGATTGGTGCCCTACTGGATTCAAGTGCGGTATCAATTACCAACCACCCACTGTTGTCCCGGGTGGTGACCTTGCCAAGGTCCAGAGGGCTGTGTGCATGATCTCAAACTCAACCAGTGTTGCCGAAGTCTTCTCCCGCATTGACCACAAATTTGACCTCATGTATGCTAAGCGAGCCTTTGTTCACTGGTATGTTGGTGAGGGAATGGAGGAAGGAGAGTTCTCTGAGGCTCGTGAGGATCTTGCTGCCTTGGAGAAGGATTATGAGGAGGTAGGTGCAGAGTCTGGCGAGAACGAGGATGGCGAAGATCCAGATGATTACTGAAGGGGATGAACTTTGTTTCCATGTTTGGCTAATGCTATTACTGGTATTTTTCTGGCTGTGTTTATCGTGTTTGTGATTGTATGTGCAATATAGCACAAATTGATTTTATTTACTCCGACCTTTGATTCTTCCATCCTTGAATGAGATTAAGAATTTGGATTAGTTGGATATATACAAATTGATTTTACATTTGAAATGCGTGCTTATATTTCTCCAAGTAATCTGAAGTTCAGCTGGGCCCCTCCTGTTCGCCAGCCTGTCACTTTAAACATGAAGGGGCCAGTCCCAGCTAGCTTGTGAAGACTGTCAGCGGGCCGGACCATGACTTACCTTCAAAACATGGTGGGGCTGGTCCCAGAGTAGTAATGCTAACTATCTCAGTTTGGAGTCGCCTTAGCCTGGTCATTGGCTGGCTCTGAAATTAGAATTTCCCTTGTGTGCTAGGCCGAAAGTTTAAGTTTAAATTTTTTAAAATGAAAATGAGAATATAATATCAATATAAAAAAAATTTATATGAAAATAATAATCTTAAATGGGATAATTTGATTTTAGTAATCCAATTAAATTAAATTTTAGGCGGCTTCAAGTGTTACAGTCCAATTCCGCGTTTAACTCTATTGAAAATGCTACGAGGAAATCTTGTTTTCTATAGACATCTGTAAAAATACATTTCATTGATTCATTGATTTTTTGACAGCTGACATGAAATTAAGATTGTTTTTCTAAACAATTTCATATAGGAGATAAACTTTAGTATAATATATATATATATAAATTATTAATATAATAATATATATAAACTATTACTATAATAATATATATATAACATGTAATAATGTATATATATAAATTATTAGTATAATAATATATATATATATAAAAACTTTTAGTTTAATTTTAAAATATGTAAATTTAACTTTATTCTAATGTTAAAATATTTAACGTAGAAGTTATTTTTTTTATTAAATTCAATATCTTTTAAATAAAAAATAAAAAAAATTAATGTTACGTATCATTCGAAAATAATACAATTATAACTTAATTAAATTTTTTTTTGATAAAATCCTTAATTCTAGGAATTTATACTCTAACCAAAACACATTCATAATAATCGTTTTTATTATTATATTTTAATTCTTATAAAATAGAATAATTTTATAATTTATTTAAAATTACTCATTCTATAAATGTATTTTTTCTTTTATAACAGTTATCTATTATTTTAAGTGTTTTTTAAATTAGTTTCAATCGTTATAAGTGAATTAGAAAAATAAAAAATCAAATTAGTGGATCATCCACTTAATTACTAAAATTAACATATTGAATATTTATATAAAGAATCTTATGAAAAGAAAGTAAAAAAAACAAGGAATAATTATTTATTTTGTTAAATTAAAAAATATAATTCTCTTATTATTTTTCTACAAGTCTTTAAATTCCACTTTTTTTTCTTTCTAAATGTAGAAACTTATATGATTAGATGACTTACATAAGGATTCATTAATGTCAGGTACAATTAAGTATGTATAAAGTTCATTAATGTTAAAATTTAACTATATTGAATAATAATGTATAAATATTTGATAGTGACAACTGTTTTTATTTAAATTGATCAGATATTATACTTGTATATTTAAATAAATTTTATATTTTAATTCTTTTTTATTATATATAATAATAAATAAAAAATTAAAAAAAATAATATTAAATATAGAGCTATATAAATATATAATTATATATATATAATATACATATATATATATATAATTAAAAAATTATATTAATGTATAATATATAAATAAAAACATAAATATATCTAATATATATCTAAATATTTATATAAATAAATTTTATATATAATTAAATATATAAATATATATCTATATATATAATTGATATAATTAAATATTATATATATAATTTAAAATATAATTCATAAATTTAATTGAATATATAAATATATGTTTGTATATAAAAATATTTATTAATTAAATATATATATAATATTTTAAAAAAATATAAAAAAAAAATATTGAGTAGAAGAAATTAAAAAGAAAGGTAATGTTATAAATATTAAAAAATATTAAAGGTATAAAAAAAAAAGTTATAAAACTATTATAAAATTATCAAATTAGTAGTTTAAAAAAATAAAAAAATTATAATTTTAAGATTTATACTTAACTACTAAACAATTATATTATGTATTTAAAAATATAAATAAATTAAAACATTATAAAAAAATCATACTATAATTATTGAATTATAGTCCAAATAAAATCTAATAACAAATGAGAAAACTAGCTATAATTTCGCTCTATGAATGCCCAAACTTTTCAACCAGTCTATTCTCGATTTCAATTCTCTTCTTCATCAGCAATCCATACTTCTTAACCAGTTCCAGGTCTCCAGCTTTTACTGCAAGTTTGCAGCTTAGAGATGTCTTATCCAGCTTGTCCTCGTAAAGGCTCGACATGGGTATGAAACTGCCTTTTTGGCTGCAAAGCCAGCCGTGAGCAGCCCTTAATGCCGCTCCCAGAGAAGCGGAATCTGCAAAGCAAGGAAGCACATAAGTTAATCCATGTCTATACAACTGTTAAACCAGCATGTCACCGTGAGAAAATTGTCTACTAGAGAAACTTTATTGGCAAGGAAATGATGACTGACCAGGTCTCTGGACAGTATACACATCGCAGCCAAAGATAGTCGCTACTATATTCAGAATATTCTTGTTTGCCGATGCTCCACCAGTGGCTATGATTCGTTTTGGAGGAGAAGGCATCCCGAATCTTTCTGTGTGAGCTCGCATTGAGAGAAACTGGCCCTCGATTAATGCTCGAACCTGCACGAATATAATGTACATAAATGCATATGCTTTTTGGTGACAATAAGAAAGAGAGAATTTACAGCAGTTCATGTGCCAGCTATAAGGGACATTTAAGCTTACAAACCTCAGTTGGGGGATCAAACTCGGTCAATTCCTGTTCTTTCAAGCCCTCAAAGGTGTTTCCAGTGAAATTTTCAAGTGCGTAGCGATGAAAGCCCACTGCATGAAAACGAAATTGGAACTCATTTTTGGATCTTTCAACACCAGTCATTAGACAAATTGTTCTTATTTTATTTAATGAATATGTATTTCTAAAACACAGATAAGAAAAAATCACAACTTTAAATTAACTAAAGAAAATTACAGCAAAAAATATAACAGTGTACACACACACACACACCAGTAGAGAGAGAAAGAGGAAGAGCCCGTTTGGGCCGCGGCAAGGAGACCCAAACAAGCAGATCCAACAGTCGGTGGCGCCCCGGCAGCAAATCGCAGAGGCTAGTAGTTGGAGGTGACTGCTTGTTGGAGATATATATATATACGCGCATATACATGAAGTATGTATACAATCAAAATGAGGGAAAATAATTTTGAGATTTTAAATGTAAATTTTAGTAAAAGTTATATACCGTAACTTTTGACTTTAAATAACTTTGAACGTGTCAAAAATAGGTTGCATTTACTCGTTTGATTACAAAAGTATTTTTGAAACACAAACCAGCGGTCAAAAGCTGCGTCAAATCACAAGCTATGTGGCTTGAACTCTTTAGTTTTATTGCTACACCCATGTTGAACATGACATGGCATCAGTGTCAGTATTGGATCGATACTCGATTGATGTGTATGTCAGATTCATCTAGAACTAGAGGTTACAATTTATGATACCATGAAGATGGTGATGAAGACTCTTGCAAGTTTTAAAAGAACAAGTGCGTCACTGAATGTCTAAATTTGTCCGATAAACATTATTTTCACTTTCACTACAAATAAGAACTATCTCTCTGTCAGAAAAATTGTATGTATATATAAGTACATATATTATTCATTTTAGCTTTATAAAAGCTTGTTTTTAGTTTTGTTGTTTTTCATATGAGATAATCGAATTACCCATATTCAATTTTTCAACTCTTATCAACGGATCTTCCATATCTCTGACTACAAAAATTATCGAGGCAAACACTCAAGATTAATACCCAGTAACCCATACCGGAGGCTTATACGCAAATCTTAGTAACATAGGTCACAACATAGAAAACATTTCATGACAAGATGAAAGAAATGTTCATCACAAATTTCAAATAAAATTTCACAACAAGAAGAATACCAAGTATCTAAATAGGCTTTAACAGAGTTCTATCAACTTTCAGCTTTTCGCTAAAGTAAAGAAAATCATATACATGGTAGAGCAAAAAAATCTTAAAACTTACCTGGAAGGGGGGGAAGAATTTCATGCTCCTTGTAATAGAAACCGAGCTTTCCACCTATTGGACAAACTAAATTTAGAAACAACGGAGAAAACTTAAAATGACTCGAGACTAGAACTACACTAACCATTTAATGGTGGTGTTTGCTCCAAAAACTTGTTAAAAACTTCCCAGGATTTCTCAGCACAGCGATTGCGCACATCTAAGATTGAGAATGAGGTCAGATCGCCAAGTATTAAATGGTTACATCAGAAAAATATAGGAAAAGGATCATCTTAATACCTTCACGAGTGAGCGATGCATTCTTATATACCAACATTACCATATAGCCTTTAGTGTCCACAGGATTAGGAAACACATGGCCTTCTAATCTGGGTTTAGGATCTTTGGCGATCCCAAAAATCTGTGACGTAGGAAGGTTAAACAATAGTAAACTTTGTTGTAATCCACATAAACACATGACAACACATGGGTAACTGGATATGTATTAAGTATAGATTTTCCACCTATGGAAAATGGAAACGTTCTGAGCTTAGCAAAAAGATAAATCAACCACCCAAAAATGATTTGATCATAATATTCAAAAACCTATAGAGAACATTGAACTTTGTTGCCCCAGAATCTAGTGATATGTTGCTGCATGCTAAGAAACTGGGGCCATATAAATGGTTGAGATAGTAATGGTGCCTTTTGAAGTAAAGAATTCCAAGAGAAGAACTTAGGTTCTTATGAATGTTGACAAGTATTTGGCTAAGAGCTGAGATAGCATCAAAATGGGTCCTAAAAGTTTAGCCGTCTGTGTAACCAGGCCAAAAAAAGTCGGCCCTGTGAAGCTTGATTTCTGCTCAGTCCGAGACCAAGCTGAGTTGTCCATGAAAAGTGAATAAATATAAAATGAATAAAACATGTGCCATGCTGGCATATGAAAAGTGACTTCCTTGGTGCAAGGGATATTCTTACCGTGTCACTGGTGCCCAGACTTATTGCCAAATCCCCTGGAGAGCTTAGAGTTAGACCTGCAGAAAGGAATTGTTACTTTAGTTGATGGAATGCCAGGTGATTATGTCCAACGTATCATCTCTCCAAGAGAGCATAAGATGATAAAAAAAAATTTGTTACTAGATTTCTTTGAGCAAATAACTGATTTGCATGCAAATATAACTGCAGCGATATTAATTTGGTTGCAATTGAAAATGATCGTAGGAGTTATGCAAGGTAGAAATCATGTTGACCTGCTAAACTGTTGGGATTGTCTCCAGACCACTGAACAACCAAACAGTTCTTATTAAAATGAAACCTGCCATGAAGTTTCAAGTTAGTCACTTTTATGTGTTTAACAAGTATCCATCCTCATGCCAGAATAATGTTAGTAGATATACCACCAGCTTCATAAAAATTCTTATGTTAACTTTTATGACAATTTGAAAACAGACCTGGATGACAAAGCTGCGCATATATATATATATATATGTTATCTATCTCATATAGACATCCACGGCAATGTTTTTAGTCAACTACAGTATGCTACTAACCTCTCAACAAAATAAGGGGCAATAGGACCAGCAACAGCATGAGCAGGGGCTAACTTTCCAAGCTTCTCCTCCAATCCAGGAGCTGTAGCCTGTAGTAAGCATTGTAGGTCAATAACCATCAAGAAAACCATAATAAGCAAACTTGACCAATTATTTATACAAAGTATCTTTCAAGAAACCATAACAAAATAGCATGGCAAACTAACCTCTAAAGCTAGTTTAGACCAGGTCCTCTCCTTAATGTCCATTAAATTCATTCCTGCACCATCAGTTTCATCAATACAAGCATATGACCCAATAAGGAGAGAAGCCATGAATGAGCTAACAAGAGATATCCTCTCAGTATTGCTATAAACTTCTGGCTGAGTCTGGAATATCTTCCTAATTTGTGGGCCTGTGTATCTTTCATAGGCACGTGAACCAGTTAGCTGCGCTAACTCCATTGCTCCTCCAACAGCTTTCTCTATCTCCCTACACTGAGCCGTGGTGCTACTATCCATCCATATTGGTGATTCTTTTATGGAAAACGCATTACCAAGTTGATCAACTAAAGATTTCTTAGAATCCAGTGATGATAATATTGCAGAACTCCCTTTCTTCCAATAGACACTGCCATGTTGTTGTCCACTGCCAGAAACAGCAGCAATTTTGCCAAAATCGAGACCTGATTTTAATAGTTTTTGAAACATGAGATCCAATGCCTCCACCCACATCAAGGTGGGTGAAACAATTCTGCCATTGTCCGTGGGATCTCTATAAATTCCATCTTTAGTCTTGTAATGAGGCAATTCAGACTCAAAGTGAACCAGTTCAGATTTGACAATGTTGATATTGGAGTCCAACACAGTAGCCTTCAAGGACCTTTACAAATACAAATGTATAAGCAATTCACATTCCAAATACTCTTTATCTTCTAAACAAGATTCTCCATTAAAATAAATTAACAAGATATAACCCAACATGAATTCATTCAGATTCGACTATATTGATATTAGTGTCCAATACAATGCCTTCAAGGAACTCTGTAAATACAAATGTGAAACAATTCAGATCACAAATACTCTTTTAATTTCTGTCCATGATTCTCCATAAAAATCAATAGTGAAGGGAAATCCAACTGGTGAAAGGGAAAGACCAAACGAGTAAGAGACAAAAGATAAAAAAAAGGCAAAAGCTCGATTTTCAAAGAGCCAAAAGCCGTTGACAGTTAGAAAGCCAAAAACACAACTTTGCACTCTGGATACTTGTAATTTTCTCATTGTGAACTGAACAACGAAATCAAAAAAAAAAAAAAAGTACAGCGAAATATGAAGAGAGAGAATTACTGAGTCGAGCTGTCGAGTCCAAGGAAAAGCGAGTCGCGAGGGAGAGATGAATTCGCCATTAGAAAACTCGGAGTTCAGTGAATAGAACCAGATCACGAGAGACAGAACTCAGCCAAGCGTGATGTTCCTCTTGTTTATTGTGGAAAAGCAGATAAATAGATTATCTCGGTTACAGATCAGTGGATAAAGACAAAAGAAATTGGATGATACGAGTTCTGATCGAACTTAAATTAATCAAGCAAGATTCAAAGAGCCAAATACGTTGACACTAATCAAATTTTTGTCAAACATGTAGGATCAGAACTTATCACGAAACGTGAAATCCGGGGGAGCATATCGGCATTTTTAGAATTCAATTTTAAGGCCCAAAATTTCGGAATACAATTTATGTTTCTTGCTATGACAAGTATGGAGGAAAAAGTCCCACTTCAAATTTTTATTATTATGTATGCATTTTTTCGGAAAAAGTATATATACTGTGTGTTTATAAAATAATCAATTGCAAATAAAAAAATTCTCTTTAAATAAACTAAAAATAATATCTTAAAATTTAAAAAAATTACACCGCCTTTTTACCTTTTTTTTTTTTTTTACTTTACCAAATCCAGTTACATGTTTTTATAAATAAAATATCTAAAATTTATAAAAATGAACCTTTGATATTTGAATTTGGCTCTACAAAATATTAATAAATAACCAAATAAACCTATTTCATATTCTGAGTGTGCCCGATATTTAGGTTTTCGCTTTACAAATAATTCAAGAGCTAGTTGGTAACCCTACTTTCAGCGATTGCTCAATAATATCATTTGTCAGTGCCATGCATAGAACACTTTGAAAAGGGGCAAATGCAAAAATAACAAGAGGGGATTTTACATCTCTTAATATTGCACCGAGATAGTGCCTGTAATTCCTTGTCAATTGTCAACGTGGGTGATCCTATTCTATCCCAAAAGCTAACTCAAAAAAGGAAACTAAAATCATGTACTCTACCTA